TTAGATTTAATTAACATTAACTAGTAACTGAGCAATAGCATTCAAGAAGGATACATCTAAGATTGTTACATTAGCTGAGAAGAATTGAAGATAGGGAAACAGAGAATAGAGAAAGTGAAAAATCAGAAACCAGGAATCCAGGAATAGGTTAAGTTCAAATTTCTTCACACTGCATACACACATGCTGTATTTAAAAGCTTCAAGTAAAGGATGCTAACCCCTAATTGTTAAATCTATTCGGTAGCTTAGCCTAAGATGAAACGATGCTAAGTCGTGTTAGCTTAAGTGGTTTAAGGTGGTTTGTTTAAAATATGTCGCCACCAGGTGACACCTGTGCTATGTGGCGTTAGCACTTCCTGTGACAAGTCATTGTCATGGTAACCAATGCATGCCAGTGCAATTCCAGCAGTTTAGTGTCTGCCTATTTCAAAGAAGTTGCCCACAGTTTTAAAACGTGGTGCTTTCGGTCCTTCAAGACTTGTTGCATTAAATAAGTACTTTTGTGAGTGCTTCTCTAATTTAAGTTTCTAGCTCTTGTTTAAAGAATAACAAACAGTTTTACCGTAAATTGAAACTGGTTTAAGTGTATAGTGTAGTTATGTGTGCCTCACACATGAATACTGAAGTATTACACCTTTAGTTTCACTCAGCGAGTTGATCACCAATTTGCTGTGCTTGTATATATGCAGTCAGAGTTTAGATGAATTTCATTGATCTAATTATAATTTACAAGGGCTTTATGCTGTAGAAAGAGGAGCATCACTCAAATTTCTATAACACTGTACTAAGATTTATTCATCAGAAACAGATTAAACTATACTGCAATTTTGTGATTTCTTCACTAAAGCAGATTAATGCATTATGGTAGAGTTTGGTTATGCCGCTGAGCTGAGTTTCCTTCGTCAAAACAGACTTACACTTTAATACTGAAATTATGGTTTTCTAATACTCTTTCAATCATAATAGAGATGCCAATTCAAGCCACTTCTTTATCTGCATATAAAGAAGGCAGCAAATAGGGACACAAATGCACATCGCAAGTCACGCCCTATTCTTACCTGGATTATCAAACACACACTTTTAGGTTGACAGTGTTTTAAACTCATAACCTTTGTTTTATCATGCCCGCATCCTCCACCATTATATGTAGCGAATCAGCTCAAAGGGGAAATATGAATAGTTAATTATAAGTAGTTATAATTAATTATAAATATTTAGATCCGCTGTAAATATTTACTTGACATCTCAGTGTCAACTGTCTGTCAATTCTAAGAACGTTAATTTCCTGGTTAAGGAAAATAACTTTCTTACTGTACAATACTACTCAGAGCAAGTAGCAAAAAATCTGCATGATTAGGGCACTCTAGTTATGAGCTAACAATGAACAACCTCAAGTGTGATACAAGTAAGACTTTATTAACTACATAAACACTTAAACTAGTCTAACATACACACACACATGCATACAGTTGGCATAGGAAAAGGGGTTAAATCTTAAGCAGTAAAGAGAAGAGAAATAAAGACATGAAGCTATGGTAAAATTTGATATTCAGCAGATCTACAGCCTGAAGGAAACATACGTTTCTTAGTTCAAACACACCTTTGTAAAAAAGGTGCAAATGATACTTAATGTATCATTTAATAAAACTAAGTTTGATACTTGCACGTCTCGCCTGTTTGAAAGAGAGTCCTGATGCACTCTGGGGCTCCAGTTGATTGGCTGAAGTTAGGTGATGAGAAAGAACAATTTTGAGTCAGAGGATCTTGATGAATGGAAAGACTAGGCCGAAGCCTGGCGCAGACTTAAGGGTTGCAGAAGAGTTTCTAGCTCACATCCTTATTTTCTCAGAAACTAACATAACCGCAGACTGAAGGCGGGTCACTGATGTGAGGCCTTTATCTTCACATGGTATAGGTGTGGTTATATTAAGTAGTGATCTATCATAAGCATGCATAAAACATTTACAATACACAAATCCATATACAAGAAGGTAGTAATCCTACACAATGACCTGGGGATATGCATGATAGAAAAATGTGTCTATGAATTAATGTAAGAAGTCATTTCCTATAGCGTTACGTGTCTGTTTTAGAGAGAACTGAGTAGGGAGGAAGATTCTCTCTACATACTTTTAGGTCGTAAAAGTTTATCTGATCTGATTGCCACGGTAACCAGGGGCCTGGGATCGTTCACAGAATTGCTGGCACCCAGTATGTTTATTGGGTGAGGGGTCTGTTATTATTTGTTAATCTAATGAATAATTGATTTGTTAAATCTAATGAAAAATTGTGTGTCTGATTAGTCCAAACGCTGCAATATTTTATTCCATATTGCGATGTAAATTCAGGATGTGGGGCATTGCAGTAAAAAGTGGACCTTGTGTTACCCCTCGGGTTCAACTCGTTCTGCTCTGAACTGGATTCGAACTGGCGTTGGAGGCAAGCATGCTAACAAGGACTCTAAACACCACAACCTCTAGCGTCAGTTGCTAGTGCACCTCTTGAAATCAGGTGAATGAGTTTTACCTGCACAACGTCTACTAGCTGGCATCTGTTTCACTTACCCACCTAAACCTCACTCCCATTCGGGTCACGGCAGCAATGTAATTGAACCGGTGCTTTCGGCATGTGAGGTGAGCATGCTAACAAATACACTAAAGAATACAGCCTCTAGAGTCAGTTGCTAGTGTGTAGGGCTGCATGATTAATCAAAATTAATTGAAATTAAACTGGAATCGCGATTTGGCAAAGGATACGATTTTTTTTCATGCGCAGCTTATTAGTGAAGCATGGTTCTGTGATCAGTGGTAAATACTGCTCCATCCGAAGGCCAGAGGGTGCTCTCGTGCTAAAAATCCAAATATGCCCTACAGAAGAAAGGTAACACCGTGTCCAGATGCAACAGTTGTCGCACCAAGCCGCAACAGCTTGAGACTGTCTACATTGGACGTGACAAAACAACCGTTGCAAATCATTTGAACTTTGAATCAGTACGTCATAAATAGAATGAGGCAACAGTTTACTGTCAGGTATTTTTCATCACGCTGCATCACTGCATCCAGTGTATACAGCATCACTGATTATAATGGGTTATAACTGATTATAACTGTACAAAACAATTTACAAGATGTTCACATGTGTAATCTGACTATGCCAATATTCAGGCTCAAAAATACAACAACACGTGAACAGTTTTCAACACACTCCATACATCCTTTAAAATTCTTCTTCTTCTTTCTTTTTATTCTCATCCCGCACTTATCAGTGCATTACTGCCATCTGCTGGTAACTCGGATCAGAAACACTTTACTTATCAGAGTCCCTTCTCCTTCCCGGCCACAAAAGAGCCAGAAGCCCAAACAGCGCTGCCTATTCCTCCTCTGATTGCAGCTCCATCACCATACAGCCTATAGAAAGAAAAGCATCTCTGCCAGTATTCTATTATTATACCTAACATAACTCTGCACTCTAATATCATCCTATTGAACCTGTTCCACACACAAACATCTTGCACACTCACATCTTTGTACTTTCCTACTTTACATTCTATACTATATTCTATATATTAAACCTGTACTTTCTAAGTATTGAAGCAATGCAGAGACAATGTTATGCTCTATATCTGGATTTTTTAATGTTAACTCTTTTTTCTCTACCCTCCATATTTCTTCTCGTAACACCTTTCTCTCTTCATCATAATTCCTACAATTAATAATCACATTTTCAACAGTTTCACTCTGTCCACACCACTCACACAATCTTGTGGGATGTTTAGACATTAGATGAAGTGTTTTATTCAGACCTGTATCTCCCATTCTTAATCTTGAGATTACATTTTCCTCTCTCTTATTTCTTCTACTACTTCTTCCTCTTCCAACCTTTCTTTGTATTGCGTATAAATGCATCCCTTTAGCCTCATTATCCCAATACTGTTGCCATTTTTGTAGCACTTTCTCTTTTATTGCAGGCTTAATTTCTCTCATACTATGTGATAATTCAATTTCACATCCTTTAAAATGGCTGCCTGGTAGTGATGGATGCTTTCGAAGCACTGCTTCATTAAGCTTCAAAACTTTTGTGAATCATTTGTTTCGAAACAGTGGTTCGGAGCGAGTATCAAATTGCCAAAGTCACGTGATTTCAGTAAACGAGGCTTCATTACATCATAACTGTTTAGAAACGTTTAGAGATTTCAATGGTTTGCCGTTGGGGGGCGATCTCTGTGAACCCGTGAATCATGCGAGTTCATTGAGTTCGCCCCCCAGTGGCAAACCATTGAACCAGCATCTGGTTTTACCTGATCTCGGATCAGTTTCATCAATTTGTAATTTTTAACGAAATATTTGTGTAATTAAAAGGATGAGCAGTCGTTTATAGTCTCTTACTGGCCTCTATATAGAAGCTGTCCATAAAACAAACAAAGCAAGCCCTGCAAATTAATATAAAATATTTTAAAAACCACATATTATGCAGACACTTCATATTTAATGGTGTTTTATTATTTTTATTGCATTTAATGTATTATACTTTCAATAAAACATTTGCATTGGGCTTTTGAAAGCTTTTTATGCATGTTTTAGCCTGAGTTTTTGTTGCATTTACACACTTTTGACCAGCAGGCGTCACTAGTATGGGGTGTTTTGAACTCTTCGAAACAGCAAATTATTTTGGCGAAGCAATTGGTTCAATAGATTTGAAGCTTCGAAAAGGTTCATTTCTCCCATCACTACCCATCACTACTGCCAGGAGCCCTTTTATAGAGTTAGGCTCCTCCCACTTTAGAACATACCATGTGGATGTGCACAACAATTTAAAAGCAAGGTAAAGCTATACAAATACATAACACAGACAAATGGTAGTGGTACTAACATGCAACAGATGTATCACATCTGTATTGATTACTAAATTGTTCACAACCATTGCAAACAAAATGCATGAGAAATTCCAGTTTCCTTGATCTCACCACTCTATGGTGTCACTGAAAATGGAACTGTTTAAATATGGCAGCTTCCACTGCATACAGGTTTGGCAGGTGAAAGGTGGCTCACAATGTAAGTACTGCAGTGTTTTACAAGTACCTGTATATTTTAGTTGTTTTCACATGGAAAATAAATTGTTAACATTTGTAAAAGATTTTGGTGTGCTTTCTTTATATGTTACATCATAAAACATTAAACAGTAAGGCAAAACAAACAAACAATAAAAGTAAAGAAAATGATATAAGCAAAACAATTAAACTAATCAGAGGACAACAAATGGCTTGTTACAGCACATAAACAGGAACGTAACCACACATTTACTATAATTGATGTTAATTTGCCGGCATCTAGATGGTGTGTATGAATAATGGTGTAAACTGTTATGTGTGTACATGCTTCTGCAGTCCTTCCAAAATTAAAGTCAAAAGTCACAGTCCATCTGTGACAGGGTTCTATAGTATTTTGTCGCGCCATGTTGCTAGCATCCGGTGTAGACTCGGTGTAATGCATGTCGTTCCAGGAAATCCCTTTCGCTGTAGCTGAATAAAAAGAGGATCGAACTGCTTTCATTGATTCAGCGTGACTAATAAACACACGAATATGACAATATATGTTTTATCTGAGTTCTGTCATGACAACTCTTGGAGGGATTGGCATGGTAATGTACATGACAATGTTAATGTATTTGGTCTTGGCGGAATAGATCTGCTACGCTGCTGCTGCTGCGGCAGAGCAAGTACCGAGACTTGCTACTGCCAATACATCCACAACATGCTGCTGTGAGCATTTAAGTAATACTGCTGTTGCAAATATAACATACATGAAATAACCCCCCACATAGCATACATGAATCACCTCGTAGCAGATCTATACAGGTGGAGCTGGGGAAGGTGGAGGGTTTCTGAAGCAAGCTGCAACTGCTACGGCAAGCACTAGTCATATATTTGAATGTTGAGCAGCGAGCTCATTGGCTACCGATACGGAGATAACTAATCAGCTGTGACATGAGATGATGTCATTAGGTCAGATTGAGTTAGACCTATCGGACTGCACCATCTAGAGTTTCATGCCAGAACTCTGTATTTCTTTAAGCCTTCTTGTACTTTTCATTATAGTAAAGTATATTTATAATGCAATGCTAACTGACCTAGCCTTTATCACAGCATAGAATACTATGAAATGTGTTGCGTGCCTTATTCTGTATTAGTAGAAGCCACATCATCTCACAAAATGATTTTATTTAAAACACTCAGCTGATGTTATGAAATTAGTTTGTTATTAAATGTTGTCTTTTGTTGGACAAGAGGTTCATAAATGCTTCTCATGTTTGGAAAGATCTTCTTGCTTTTTCAAATGCATGTTATAAGCGACTCAAACTCACAGTGCTTTCAGACGGAGCAGCTTTTACTACTGATCACAGAACCGTGCTTCACTGACAAGCTGCACATAACAGCCTTCGCAATTTCATAATTGCGCTAAACCAAATGATTTCATCACGATTTTGATTCGATTTCAATTAATTGTGCAGCCTTACTAGTGCACCTCTTGAGATCATTGAAGTGAGGTTTACCTGCACAGCTCTATATAACTGGCCTCTGTTACACTTGCAGGTGCAAGTTTAAGAGGACTAAATGATTGGAGAAGTCCTGTATACGTCACCAGAAATAAGTCTGTCATTTTTTGACATTTAGATTCAACATTACAAGGTCAAAAAAAAAAAAAAAGGATTTATTATTCACAATAATTTCCACAATAACTGTGAATGTTTGCCAATGAGTTTACAGACTTTTCCTTCAACTTTAAACATAAGGCCTTACTTAATTTAAAAACACCTGTGAAAAATCAGTACAGAAAATGTATTTATATTAACAAAGTACATTGGGCATTTTTCTTAGAGTATTGGTGTAGGATCTAATCCATTCTCACTACCCAGATAAATATTTAATTGCTCAGATATTGCTCATTCATAGCTCAGCATAATTAATGGAGCATTTTACTAATATTCAAAAAGATTGTTCACCCAAACATTAAAATTCAGTGAAAGTCAGTGAGGTCCAGTCTTGTTTAGACCCCTAACATTCTTTAAAATATATTTTTTATATCTTTTTAAATATCTTAAATATCTTTAAGTCATACAGGTTTGGAATGTCATGTGGATGAGTAAATGATAACAGAATTTACTTTTTTTTTAAAAATTAAATATCCCTTTAAGTATTAACTTTTAATATAAATAAAATTGATATTATTTTGCTGTAATTATTTACGAGCAATAAAATAGACACAAACAAGAAAATTGGGCCATAAAATATAAAGCTGTAAAATGAGTGAGTGCATAGGAGTTGTTCTTGGAAGAATGTGATTAGAAATGTTTGCTCATATTAATCTTCTTAATTTTTGTTGTCTTTGATATCTGACCAAATCCGAGCATGGTTTGAAATATTGTTGAAAGCTGTTGTAAAACTTTACATGTGAGAATATTGGGGTCTTTTTCTCAGGGTAAAGTCTGGGAAGCAGGAGACTTCTCATTTCATTCGGGTAGTCTTGTTTGAGTAGTGTAGGAACTTTGATGGGTAGTTTTTAACAATGTTGGTTACTATTAGACTAATTGTTAAAAGCAGTGCTTATTTTGGAAGTTTTAGGGAGTGTTTAGCTGAACTCTTCAAAGCTGTCCTGTTTCATTTTAAACACTTACTAAATAACGATCGGGTAATCACAATGTTGTCATTATCCATCACAAACATGCAAATACAGATACTCCTCCTTCCATAATAATCACACATAACCTTGTTTTATTGTTGTAAGCACTGCCAAAAGCAACCAAACATCTTCAGTATATTTCAAAGTTTCAACTGTGAAGGGTCAGTTTTTCATACTTGACGTTTTTGAGGAACTCTATTGAGGTAAGTTTTTTCATCACATTTTTATTGTTTTACACAGAAAAGCAAGTAATGAATCTTAGCCTGTTAACAGAAGGCCTTGCTGTGGAGAAAATAAGCTTTCCCGGCAAAGGGACACACAGATACAAGTAATTAACCACAAAAACATTTTTACCTCGATAATAATAAGAACCATTATTAATAATTGAGCATAAGTAACAATTGATAATAAATGAGCACCAAATCAACTCAACTCAACTCAAACTTTATTTATAAAGCACTTTCAACACCACGACTGGAACCAAAGTGCTGTACAGAGAAAGATAAGAGAAAAAAATAATAATATAAAAACAAATGAAAAACAATAATAGTAAAATAAAATAAAAAAATAAAAAAATAAAATTTTGGATAAGTTCTAATAGACAGAGGAAGGGCATTCCAAAGCCTAGGAGCTGCCACAGAGAAAGCACGATCCCCTCTACATTTTAGACGAGATCGCAGAACCATTAGGAGTAGTTGATCATTTGAGCGCAGAGATCTGCTGGATTGACAGACACTAATTAAATCAGTAACATAGTCAGGTGATAGACCATGCACAGCCTTATAAACATACAGAGACTGCAAAGCACATTTATGGTCCCATTTCAAAGGTAAATAAATTTGTGAATCATCCTCATACAAGTGATAATGAATCCCACATTTTTCAAAAATAAAACTCAATGGCAACATATACAGAGCAAATAAAATTGGTCCCAAAATAGAGCCCTGAGGAACCCCACAGACAAGAGGAGCAGTAGAAGAAGAGTAATCACCTAAACTGACTGAAAAAGTCCTGTCCTTCAGATAAGAAGAGAACCGTTTTAGGGCTAAGCACTGAACACCAACATGATTCTTGAGACGAGCAATAAGTATATCGTGATCAACTGTATCAAATGCTGCAGTAAGATCTAACAAAATTAGAACAACACAACTCCCAGAGTCAACACCTCTCAGCATAATCAGCATAGTAAAATGATTTCTAAAGAATTATGTGACACTAAAGACTGGAGTAATGACAAATTCACCCTTGCCATCACAGAATATAGTACATTTTAAAATATTCAGTATTTTAATAGAAAGCAGTTATTTTAAATAGTATTAATACAATTACTGTGTTACTGTATAAAAAAAAACAAAAACGCAGCCTTGGTGAGTGAAGAGAGTTCCTTCAAAAACAAAATCTTATTCCAAAATTTTGACACGGTAGTGTACATGTATATATGCAAGTTGTTTCTTTACATTTTATCTAGATTAATGTATTTTTTTTTCTATAGTTGCAAGTCCACATTGGTTGTCATAGAAACACCAGTAAAGTGTGGTTTATACGGTGGCCGAGAGAGCTCAACGCACTGCAACTTAAGAAAACACATATTGAGCTCTCTCGGCCACCGTAGGTTTAGAATATCTTAGATTTGGTAATGAATGTTTTGCAGTTTTTAAGTACACAGTTTCCAAATCTGCACACTGGTCATAAATTGGATTTGTTTCAGTGTACTTTTTCTCAATATTACAACAGTATCCTGTTATGAATTTTACACAGTTATTTAACTGAACTAAACCAACACTGAACTGACTGGTGCTGTATAATTACATTGTTGTCTCACTACAGCTGCTTTTTAGTAGAATCTTGTAATACTAATTTTCAGCTGCTTAAATGTGGTGAAATCTTGCTAAAATATGGGAGTTGGGATGTTCATTGGTGCCCCACCCAGCTGGTGGCACCCTAGGCGACCATTTACTTAACCTATGCCTAGAATTAGAGGTCTGCATTCGGAAACTGTGGGACCCGACCAGATTTTTTGCGCCGCGGGATTAAATTCCCGAATAAAACGTGGTAGCGGTCGGTAACTCTGGTGTAATTTGAAGGGGAGCGGGCGATCTAACAATATCCCGTTCCCGACGTCCATTCAGAACAGCATATCTGCGCTTTATTCTTATTGACCACCGGTACAGCCTGCACTCGCACTGTTATGCTGCACACATTCTTTCTGCGTCACGCATTTTATTTGTGGGGTCTGTGCGCAGCATGTGCATAACGATGCTCAGAGCAGGCTGTACCGGTGGTAAATATACGGCCCTCAGACAGAACAGGCAGGTTGTCGATGAGTGACAGAGCAGAATAAGGATGGAGCAAAGTGTGGATGCGCTGTCCTTGAAGGACGATCAATTCGGTTTTGTTTATATTTTGCTTAGCCTATAATTTTGAATGACAGATATCGTATTTATTTATTTTTCTCTGCGACACTTTTCCTATTGTGTTAACAGAAAAATTTGAAACGAATTTAGTATTTTAACAAGACGAATAAAAATAGCTAATAGTCTATTTTTGTACAACCTATATTTGTATTTTTTTTCTCTCTGCGACAAATTTTCCTATTGTGTTGTAAATGTTAACAAATTGTATACTGACAAGATGAATAAAAACAAGAAATTCAATTTTTGTACATTTTTATTTTCTGTAACACTTTTTTTCCCTACTGTGTTGCATAAAATATTAACCAAATTTTGTGTCTTAAGATAATTTATATAAATTCAAGTCAAAGTCAATAAATTCAATACTCTTGATGTTGTGACGAGTCAGAAGCGTGTGGATCCATTTGCAGCTTTTATTAGAATAATCAGACAATACAGGGTCAGATACCGGCAAGGTAGAACGGCTGAGACAGAGTCGAGTACCAGGCGAGAGATCGGGGCAGGCGGCAAGCAATCAGAGTCCAGGGGAAACAATCCAAGAACAGATGCACAGAAAATCAAACACGGGTATAACGCTCGGAAATGATAGCCAGGGCAAATCAAGACTTCGCAGAGAGTCTGTGTGTGTGAGTGGTTTATATGTGTGTGTGTATATGAGGTGCAGGTGTGGATGATTAATCAGTCCCAGGCATGAGGGGTGATGGGAATTGGAGTCCGAATGGGAATGACTAATATTCGGGAGATGGTTCCCTCTGGTGGTGCGGAGGAGGCGGTACGGGAGCCTCCTCTGTAACACTTGACAAGACGAATAAAATAACACAATTTTGTACAGACTACACTTTTATTTGTTAGCCTCTCTTTCAGTAGCAGAAATTTAAATGTGAGATTCTGGAAACAAGATCTAAATTTAGCGGGAACGGGAAGAAAATTATTCTAAGCGGACAGCGGGTGAACAAAGAGTGAATATATAGCGAGAGCTGGTGGGTGTGGAATATAACCTTGCGGGAGCGGGACTAAAAAAATAGTCCCGCACAGACCTCTACCTAGAATGACCTTGTCCAATTTGTCACCCAATAAATTAATTCGTAATGCTGATATACAGGTTTGTTTTAGATGGAAATATGGATGGAAGTATACTAGTCAACGAAAACTCGACTAGTTGATTGCTTGGACTCATGGCTAGTTGATATGCACTTGGGTATGTTTTTTGTCTTGATTGCTTCATGAGAGGTTATTGTGGTTATTACACTTCACCTCTGATCTGGCTCTGTGATGCTATGTGCTATATGCTATGTGATGTATATAAAACAATAGAGGCATCATTGAGATGCATTGCTGTGGTGTGTGTGTGTGTGTGTAATGTGCTGAAGGTTAGTTCAGACAAAACATAGATGAGGCCCATAACCTCCTCAGGACAACAGGAAGTTAGAGTATGTGAACCCTGCATACACACACACACACATGCTAACATACGGTTTTAATTCTGACCAAGCTTGTTTTCAGTTGGTACAGCTGAAGTGCTCCGGTCAAGTCTATTATAAAAGCATGATGTATGATCTTTTACATTAATGTCCTTAGCTTGATTTCTGTGGGTCTGTTATGCGGAAGCCCTCGTGCCTGATCCCTGTAAGACTTTCCAGATGTATCCTCAAACACTTTTCTCTCCTACAATTATAGCTCGACATGAAACACACACTAACTTCCTTTATATTTTACTATAGACAGGCCTTTATTTTGCTCTGCTTCCTGAAACTTGACAGTGGTTTTTATGACACATTTTATTGTCTATCGGATCACATTGCATCAGGGGATTTATACCATTGAATTTAGTGTCCCTGTCATATAGGACTGTGGATATACTGTGAACAAAGCATTTTTACAACAATCTCGCTCATCAGAGACAAATGTGTTGATGAAAAGTGTTATGTGTGCCTTCTTGACTTCTTCGCAAGACATTTGCTTGCTTTTATCTCCTCTGTTTTTCTTCTCATGCACTGTTTACTTGTTGAACAGCCAATCAGAGTGACCTCTTCCACCTACGGGCTCAGCCACTAATTCAACATGTTCAAATGTCCGAAAAGTCGCCAGTGCGTCCAGCTAGTGGGAATGGTAGAGAACAAACAGCAAAATTGGGCCGACAAATGGTCAGCGATGGCCTGACATTGGCTGACAGCTGACTGTCAGCTTGGTGCTGGCCTCTTATTTAAGTGTTGTTCTATTACTTTGTGCAGTGTGCTATCCATCTCACATTCCCTAAAGCAGTGGTTCTCAAACCTGTCCTGGAGTACCCCCAGTCCTGCACATTTTGTATGCCTCCCTCATCTATCACACCTGATTCACCTCATCAGCTCATTAGTGGAGACTGCAAGACCTGAAGTGGGTGTGTCAGATATAGGGAGACATACAAAATGTGCAGTGCTGGGGGTACTTCATGGAGAGGTTTGAGAACCACTGCCCTAAATAAATCTTACCCAACCTGAAAAAAAAGGAGTTTGATTGGAACTTTTAATTTCTATTTGGAATGTTATCAGTATTCAAAGACTGTCTGGTGGGTGAAGTAACCTGATCATCTGTGTTGCTTGTTTATGCAGGCAGATGTGGCAAATGCTATTGATCCCTGTCCCTTTAAGTAAATGCTGCAAAGATTATCACTGTGAAGCTGCTTTGAAACAATCTGTATTGTACAGAGCACTATAGAAATAAAGGACACTTGATTTGTTTCTTGGCCTCTGCTTAAATTGTTGTTGACAAAACAGCAAAATAATCAAATATGTGTGATTGAGACTGTATAACTTTTTGTGGGGTTTGGTTCTGATTCAGGATGTCTGATGTGTCTCTCTCTCAGACTCCTGAACACAATCAGACCGGGTCTCGTGAAGAAGATAAATAGACTGCCCACTCCTGTAGCTGCTCTGGTAAGTGTTTCTACTATTCTATTCATTCAGCCCTGTGCCCACCTCTCTTGTCTAAGCATCTTTGATTTAAAAAAAAAAATATTATTCTGGAAAGGTAGTCCTCTCAAGCTAACTTTTCACACTGGTAATTAACAAGGCAAAGAAACAGTATGATCAAAAATGAAGGGGAAAAAAAATCTATATATACTGTAATACTTCTTTGCTGAAAGAAGTATTATGGTTCCCACAAACTATTAAGCAGCACAGCTGTTTTCAACATCGATAACAATAAGAAATGAGTACCAAATCAGCGTATTAAAATGGTTTCTGAAGGATCACGTTACACTAAAGACTGGATAATGGAGGGGACTAAAAATGCTGCTTTGCCATCATAGGAATAAATTACATTTTATAATATACTAAACAGTTAGTTTAGCTAGTAATAATATTTCACAATACTGCTACTTTTACTGTATTTTAGATCAAATAAATGCAGACTTCAAAACTTCAAAAAAACTTCAAAAACGTAAAAAGTCTTACTGACCCCAAACGTTTGATGGTACATACATAAATGCTTTGTGTAAATATCTGAGAAGTGCCACATACTGTTGTTTTTTAGCTCTATTATTTGATGAGTTGGGCTGCTGTGTATAAGAATAGCTGATTGGGAAACTGTTATGCTGTGGTGTTTCATTTTTCCCATCTGAAGTATTGTAAGTAATCTTTTTTTTTAATACTTTATTTTGTCTTTCCATTCAATTCACTAAATACATTAAACAAATACAGAATTATTTTATAAAGACAATATTTCCCCCCAGAAATTTTTCAGTTTCTTCTTTTCCTTTTTTTGTGATAATAAAATGCTGCACCACACACACACACACACACACACTTATTTTTTTTGCAGTGTACGTTTTGCAGTGGGTTTATAGGCAGTTTCGCTTTATACAGTCAGTGTCTACAGCATGGTTGTCCTGGATGCCAATTTGAAACAAATATTTGGCTCCACTTTGAGTAAAATGTAAATGTTTTTGAAGATGTGAACATTTTGAAAAGTTTTTAACATTCACTGCTTCCTTGGGAAAATCACTTAATGTTTATATGGAAAACATGTCTTTCTGAATAGTCAAATAATCAACCATCTGTGTCTGTGTGGCATGCTGTGGAGAAAGTCAATATTTCTCCCCCCAAAAATTTTTCAGTTTCTTCTTTCTTTTTTTGTGTGAAAAAAATGCTGCACCACACACACACACACACACACACTTATTTTTTTTGCAGTGTACGTTTTGCAGTGGGTTTATAGGCAGTTTCGCTTTATACAGTCAGTGTCTACAGCATGGTTGTCCTGGATGCCAATTTGAAACAAATATTTGGCTCCACTTTGAGTAAAATGTAAATGTTTTTGAAGATGTGAACATTTTGAAAAGTTTTTAACATTCACTGCTTCCTTGGGAAAATCACTTAATGTTTATATGGAAAACATGTCTTTCTGAATAGTCAAATAATCAACCATCTGTGTCTGTGTGGCATGCTGTGGAGAAAGTTCACATTAACTTTCCACAGTGATTAAAACATCTGGTAGGAATCTGATGAATCTTCTTGAATTGCTTTGTGGTAAAGTTTGGTAGTTTGATGCTGGCAAAACTTTAAGGTCACTTTAAGGAGTCTTTGTGGTTTCATAGTTTAGCTACGAAATGGATATTAGTCTAAATGTCAAACTCCGTATTGAGTTAAAATAATGGCTAATGAATGCAGCTCTTGTTTTCTTTAAGGGTGTTCTTTCAGTTTTGCCCTCCACCTCATTTTGTCCTCTCACATCAATGACGAGTCCCAGAATCCTGTGTTCTCCTCTGCTCAGCTCCTGAGTTAATAAAAACAAGTATGTGCAAGACGGGGGTGACTCGCTATTCATTTCATGACTTCTTTGATGAAGGCAGACGTAATAAAAAGCTTTGTAAGAGTTTGGAGGACAGCAGCCAGAAGTAGAAAACAGAGTGAAAACAACAGGTGTTAATCACCCAGTGCTTAGAATTTGTGTTTTGAAGGAAGTTTAGTTTGGCTGGGCCGTTTCCTTTCTCCTCCATCATTCACCCATTCCCTCGCTAGATTGGGTGTCTTATCTTCTCCGTTCACTAATCAGTGCTGCCACCCTTGTAACAGACATGGGTAATTACACGCCAGCATTCCTTAAATCTCTCTGTCTCGCTCTCTGCCTGTTTTCCCCCATGTCTTAATGTGATCCCAGAGCTACAATTACGCTGGAATATCTTAATGCACTTTAAAGCCCTGAATGCTTCCTCTCGCCTATTATATCAGACAAGATCTCTCATGTTCGTATTACAATAACTGTTACAATCAACCTAGACAGGCATCATATGCATGCTTGTTGTGAAGGCTGTTCCAAATGGTGGGCAGCAATGTTGCAATATATTAAATATAATGATATTATATTTTATATAAGTTCTGGTCATCAAATCTGATTGCTTGATCATTTCCCGTTCCAAGAGTGCAGATATTACAGTCCAACAGCACTGGGGACTCTGCTTGTCTGTGTTTGTTTCAGACAGACTGTCAGTCTGTGCATTAGTGTTTGGGACTTTTTAGTTTAAACTTTCTGATATTACACTGATACCCAAGTAGTTAGTTAATTCTGCTGTTCTGCTGAACTTTTTCTGAATTTCAGCTTTTTTAACTTGTTTTATATTGCTTAAATATTACATTTAATTCTAGTTAAGAAATGCAACAATATAGAATCTCTTGACCAATAACAATAACTGATAATCAGTAGTTTGTACTAGTGGCCATAACTGATATGGAATATGAAAAATGGCAGCAGATGATTCAGATTCAAACAATCCCAAATATATTTTTTTTGTATTACTACACAAATGTTACAGAAGACCGAACCAAAAAGAAAAGGAAAAAAGGCAAGAATGAGGAAAGATTTTTAAATTGCCTCCTCCAATGTGACCCCACAACCCTGCCTGGGACTACGAGGAGGAATAATTTTTGTTTATCAGGGTGGCCTTTGTTTGGAGGATAACGTGGAGGAATTCACTGACATCTGCCACGAGCAACGTGTGATGCTCGTGAACCTCATGCTCATGAAAGGTTTTAGGTGTGGGCTGCTCTTTACCTGCTTCATGCCATCCTCCAGAGCCCCCTCCCTCCTTCTGCAGTTGGACTTTTTATGGAGCTGGGACTCGCCTTTCAGGAGTTGGGGAGTACTGTCACAGTTCTGTATAGGTCTGTTCCTTTTTTTCTTTTTTTTCCTATGCCTGTTTGCCTGTGTTCCCTTTGCTTATTATTTGCTATGGTTTCTGATTAGTGCACACCTGTTTCAGTTCCTATTAATTATCTAGTCTTCTGTTCACTGTTCGGTCTCGTTTATGGTATGTGTGCAGTGTGTTGCACGGTTTCTCGTGTTTATTAAAACTCCTTGTGAACTTTCTTCATTGTGTGCTATTTTTGTATTACTACACAAATGTTACACATGACATTTTAACTTTGTTACAAACACTGGATCTTGTGAGACTGGTTACTGGTAAAAAAAATAAAAAATACCCAGTGAAAGCAAATATAACATTGACAACAATTATGATAAATTAATTTATCAGTAAATAATGTATTAGACACTAAAATGTATAAAAAAAATTATTATTTAAAAATCAAATATTCATGCATTCATGACATCGCTGCGGTTGCCTTTAATCCAATTTTAAGATTTTAGCTTTGAGGAAAATTACGCAATACAGCCCAAGGGACTTTGACATTTTTCAAGTATTTCAAAACAAAATACCACAACCTGAACTATTGCAATCATTGCACTTTCAGACAAGCTCAGGTCTGTCGTCTTCTAAAATAATAAAGGTCTTCTTGGCACTTGCAACCAGCTCAAAACTATTGTCAAGAGCAAATTGCACAAACATGCTGTTATCGCCTGCATCATAATAAAACAGGTTAACTCTCCCTTCCTTTTCCTGTTTTTTTGGTTAGTAGGACTTTTGGCCCTCCAGACTTACTATTTTGTAGCCTACACAGTTAGGGGTCTCTCAAGTTTGTTTTTGCTTGTTGTTAATTTTGCATAAACTGCTGTAATATAGTAATGTTTTAGTTCTTAGCTGTGTGCTCATACAGAGAAGCAGGCCAACCTGAAGTGCATACCTGGAATGTTTTAGAGAGTTTGTCAGGGTTTAATAGATAAATGTGCTCAACGCTTATCAAAATAGTCAGAGTTATAAATTAAATTAAAATGAATTGAGTAAATAATCTCAGTACATACTGTAGTTCAAGAGATTTTCAAAGATTGAGTTTGAAGTTCAAACCCAATACATTTATAAATCTTGCATACATTATGTTTATAGGTACATTATTTGCATAGGTTCTGTTGAAAACAGAAATTAGATGAAAAATTTGCAATTAGAACATAGAAAAATGAATTTCCTAAAGAAGCTTAAAATACACTACTGTGGCACTGGGTTCCAAAATCATTTTATAAGAGTGCCCTGTTCTGTAGCCCCTATCCACTGCCTACTTCAGCAGTCTGCTTCTTATTTTCCCTGTTTCTCCACCACCAATATTATGTCTGCTCACCATTTCCTTTTTATGCAGGTGTCAGCGCATTGTTTATGAGCCGGCTGTTTTTCTGGGTGGGGTGGCTGTATGAATGGAGGTGAAGGAAAGTAGGGAGGAATTCTGTGCTGGAAACATGACTGCTACATTACACCATCAGAAGTATCTACAGCTCTTTTATTTATTATTAAATTAATCTCTTGGCACTTGGCACTCTTACATGTGTCCAGTCAGTTCATCATATTTTTGACCTTCTGAAGAAACTGTAATGTTCAAAACTACCCTTTAAAAACAACATCAGCCTAATATCTCCATTCCCAATGTAAAACTGAATGGATCAGTGGAAACATTTCTTGTAGTGTACTTTGCGCCTCACCATCTGGCATTGCTGTCTTCATCTAATGGATAAATCTGGGTTTGGCACATGCCAGCAGAATGCAACTGTAATGCTGCAGGAGGAGTAATTGTTTAGCATTGTTTTTCATTACTTTGTCAGGTTTCTTACTTCCAAGGAGGACTAGTTGAACATTGTACATTATTTGTTATTTAAAATTGTCATTTATTCTATGTTTGACTGTCTAATTTAATATATCAATGATGTTAGTAACATTTGAACAAGTCTCATAGTCTCCCATACACAGGGCAATGCTATACAGAGCCCAAATGGCTGAAAAATATACCAGTATAGATATAGTTAAGCTAATGCCCAAGGACATAGGACTTCATTTGAAATTCAGTCATTTTATCACCTGTACATTGATGTAATTTGCATCTTAACTTTCAATGTATCATTGGAGAGATTAATTAGGAAGTCATGGTCATTCAAACCATGTTGATTCAAGAATATATAACTGTCATTAATGACATCATGCTGATGGTTGAGCAAGAACTTCTGCTAATTAATCGGTTTGTGAACTAATTCATTGCACATTGCATGCAGAAAAAAATATATGTTTATTATTTATATATTTATCCCACAAATTAAAAATTGGTTCCCCTGTTTTATTAATTTGTTCCCTTGTTTTAATTAAATCATGGGCATGAATTAATGTATTACCATGACATGGCCACACTGTATGAATTAGTTTTATTTAAAGTAAAACACTAGGGAACAAAAGTACAATATGGCCACAATTTAATAAAATGAGGAAAATAATTTTTAATTTGTGGTAATGATAAACGATAACTACACATGTATTAGTATTATACATGTATTATAACAATCAAGGCTCATAAAATGTAAAAAACCCTGGTAGGGGTGTGTATGTATATATATCAATTTAAGGCTTTTTATGACCCTTTTTAAGATCTGCAAAAATAAAAATTAACAGTGTATGAGCGGGGTAGGGAAATGTTTCTGGTAACATTTTTAAATTATAAAATTATATGATTTATAGTTCAAATACAGTTTTTCATAAAAACAAAAAATCTTATAAAAAATCTTATGCTGATAGTGAAATGTCTGGGTGTGCAAGACTAAGGTGATTCCTAGATCCCTAAAGATGACATTAGGCATTAGTAGAGTAGGGATCTGTGTTCATTAATCAATGGGTCTGTCTGATGTCTTTTTTTTCTGTTGGGCAAAGAAGTGAAGTGAAAGAGAAATGAAACATTTTCTTTTGTACAGAACCTAACTGCGTATTCAGTTTAAACCCAAAGGTGAAAATCTTGTAATCAGCTGTTCTGCACCATGACCTCCTGGTCAGCAGGGGGCAATATTTCACAGCTAGTTTAATTCAACTGAGTATGTTGAGGAGTGACAATAAATAAATTAAGAAAAATGAAGAAAATGTTTGAATTGCCATTGTCTTAAGTCATATTGGAGATTTGTCATTATACTGCAGGGGTGAACTTCTGCGAAACTGAATAAAATAATAATAATAATAATAATAATAAACATTCTCTGTTTGTGCTCTGAGTTTGTCACTTTTAATGTTCTTTTGAAAATGCTACATGTGCAAACCATCTTCCCATACTTAAAATGAGAAGCACTTATAACTAGCTATTGTCACCAAAAGAGAAGCTTTAAGGGCTCCCTGTGGTTTTCCACTAAAAATAAAAGCTTGATGGTTTAACTCTTGAAAATCAGAAAATTAAGACATCTGTAAATATTAGTATTGCAGTTTTAAAGTTCTACTGTTAAATAAAGTTATTAATATTTTCTTTGTTTCTTTCTATTTCTTTGTTTCTTTCTTTTTTTCATTCTTTCTTTCTGTAGTCATATTGAAATGTATTCTATTATTTATTTATTTTTTTTAATTGTGCAGCCCTACAAACAAACACAGTATTTGGTAACCCACTTTTGTTGTGATGACAGCAACAGTCGAGTTGATTTGAACAAAGCCTGATGATCATGTTCTTGTGTGTGATTTGCCACTGATCCAAAGAGTATTTAACCATCTGGAGAAATGGTCACATGATCAGTTTACTTATTTGATTAGTCACTTAGAAAAAGTCCAGAACCTGAAATATGTATTATTAATTGTACATGATAATTTTTTATTTTAAAATGTAAAAAAAATCCTAAAACTTAGTTTATTTTCAAGTTTAAATTAAACTCACATATTTTTTTTTAATGTTGTTTCAGAACTTTGGACCCACTGAATTGAATATGTTGCAAGAAATTAATAAAATCAGTAAATAATTATGGGTTCAGCTGATGAAATCTTGACTCAAACTGATGAGCGGTACTGCATACTTCTTCAGTATATTGCAACAACATAGAAATGTTGCCTTGTTATTTGTATGTTATTATTGTGCATTGTCAGAAAGGGCCGGTTCTAGGGGGAGGGCTCTCTCTCTTTCTCTCTCTCTCTTTCTCACTCTCGCACATGGGCGTGAGACAAAAAGTTGTGTCCCTCCAAAACAACAGAGGAACAACAATCACTAGGGACAGGAAACTGTGCCACCCTTCCAGGTCCGCTGGAGAGAGAGAGAGAAACTGAAGGGAGGGATCAGGGGCCTTTCATTGGAGCTGGGAACCAGAGAGTAGCAAATAACAGAGATCAGGTTGCACGTTTCAACAAAAGGCACAGAGCCACCTGAAGGAGAGAGAGGCAGTCCTGTGCCTGAGGTAGAGTATGCGTTTAACATTATAAACTTGCAGAAATTGCGAGAAAGAGAGAGAGACACAGGCAGTGGATGACCAAAACCAAAAGTGTCAGTTTGCCTCCCCTTCTGCTCTTTAATGTATGTGTGTGTAGTTAGTCTTGGCGCTGTGTTCATGCAGGATTCACTCACATGTGTGTTTGTGTGCGTTTAGGATAATGTGGCGCTCTTCCTGAAGGGTTGTTTGGAGTTAGGTTTGAAGAGCTCTCAGCTATTTGATCCTGGAGATCTACAAGACACTTCTGCACGCTCTAACAAGTAAGATCAACCACTCATTACACTGTGATTGTGTGTATGTGTGTGCTTGTGTATGTATGTGTATGTGTATGCCCATGTTCTTGTTTACTTAGAAATGCTGTATTTTTGCTATAATTTCTTACATTGCAATATGTTACTTGAACAGTGGAGTTCTATAAATATTTCCAAATGATTTGGTTGCCAGTAGAAAAACATTGAACTCTCATTAAAAGTGATTGATGTATTATTATGATTTCCTCACAAAATCTGTTGAGTTTGCTGTATAGATTTATTTGAATAACATCTAATGTCTTCCGTGAGTATTTTAACCATTGTAGTTTATATAGTGGCTTATACACTTTGATATGACTATACAAAATTCATATATATGACCGCACCAACACCATCAGATTAGAACAAAATTTAAGCTGAATTAAGCTGAATTGGCACTGTTGTCTACTGTAGAGCTGCTTTACATTACACTGTTAATGATCTCCAATTGTGTCCAACTGACTCGCGCTGAATAATGACATTGCTGCCTTTTGTAGATCTGTCAATAACTTCTCATTGTTACTTAGGGCTGCACGATAATGGCTAAATGGTTCATTTGGATTATTTTGGTCAAAAATAAAAGGTTGTTGGACTATGTGTCAGATATAAGAGATGGTAAGTAGAGCGGGTAGGTAGCCAAGTAAGTTGCATGGAAGTAACAACGAGACCAGACAAAAGGAGGAGTGCAAAGTGAGGGCTTATAAAGAGTGACTTGGTTAGTTTAGGCAGGTACAGTGAATCAGAATTCTGGGGATTATGAATGAGTGGGGGGAGCTGCAGGATCTTGCGTGGCTGGTGACTCCGTGACAATTACCAGATTACTAATTTGTACAGAATACATTTATATTCATGTTTTTTAAAAATGTATTATTTTTCATGACTAAAGATGAATGGTATATATATATATATATATAAACTCAAACACTTCAAAATGATTATCAGTAGAAAAGTTATTAATATTATCATGGTATTGTTACACACCGATGAACACACTGAATTCATTTCACCAAGTTTTACATTTAAAACCAACACACAACAAAATAAAATTAGCTCTAATGAACAAAAATGTTGACTGAGTGACTTACAACATAACATTTTATCTACTAACATGTACAAGAAGTTCAAATGTTGTACAGACGGAGTCTGGTTTCTTACAAGTTTTTTTTTTTCTCCGTTTCTATCACCAATGGTGTTTTGTTTCCTTGCCACTGTCGCCTTTGTCTGTCACACTGCTGCTACATAGAAGACAAGCGCTCAAAGAAGAGAGATTCCAATAGGTTATTTATTTCACAAAACTCAGAAGAATAGGTAATCCACAAACCGTCAACGCAATGTTCAAACAATAACCAACCAACTCAAACTGAACAGACAGGAACTTAAATACACAGGCAAATGAGGATAATTAACAAGACACAGGTGAACTAACTAGCATAATCAAAGAGGAGACAGAAACTAGGTAAAATAACAAAACAGATAACCAAAGTCCAAACAGGTGATGGTGTGAAATATCACCCCCCTCCTGGAAGATGCGATCTCGTGCCACAGAGAAGAAAAGGGTGAGGAGACAGTGGAGGGATGGCAACAAGGGATGGCAAAGGGCTGGCAGAAAGGCAGGCAGACAACCAGGGCGGCGATGACGGAGGGAGGAGCCAGGGTGGAATAGATGGAGGGAGGAGCCCGAAGCAGGAGGAGACGGGAGATGGTCCAGAGCCCAGCCAAGAAGACGACCCACGGTGGAGCCGACGGACAGAGGAGCCATGGTGGAGGAAAGGCTGATGATTCCAGGGGGCTGACTGATGCTGGCGAAGCAGGTGGGAGAGGAGCCCAAGGCAAAGACGGAGAGCCATAGAGCCAGGGCGACAGAGAGGATCCGGAGGGCCAAGGCGCATGCGGGTATCTGGAAGGCTCTGGTGAAGCCGGAGTGACAAAGGACCAAAGTGGAGCTGGAGGGAGGAGCCCAATGGAGCCAGAGGGACGAGGCGAAGCCAGAGGAGTGTAGTCCCGAGGCAAGGGCAGGTCGACGACCGATCAAGGCAGAGCCGGACGGGACGAGGGAGCCTGGCAGAGCTGGTGGACTGACGGGCCACGGCGGAGAGTAGGGAGCTAGGAGTCATGGTGGAGCCACCAGGTTGACGGGCCAAGGCGGAGTCCAGGATTCAGAGGCTGGAGGCAGAGACAAGGGATCCTCCATCCACGACGCCGATGGAGACTGGCAGACCCGGGAATGCTAGGGACAGGGGAACGATCTCTGTGGTCATGGCAGGACAGACAGACAGTTCAGGGTAGACAAACAGTTCATTGCAGACCTCCATGGTCAATTCAGGACTGACAGGAAGTTCAGAAGAAGACAGGAGACTGGGCATATCAGAATAAGTCTATTAGATCCTCCTGAATCCAGCTCAACCTCAGCGGTGGTGCAGTGGGCGGGGCTTTCCTCTGCGCCCCTGCTCTCAACTGTTTTATCCACTGACGCGTGCGTGCGTTGTTGCTGCCTCTCGCACTTGGTCAGACGATCGATGAGGCTCTGGCTCCGGGGCGATCCTCAGCTCTGTCGCTCTCTCTGGCGATGGCTCATCGGACGTCGCGGGCTTTGGCTCTCCGTCTGCGGTGGGCTCTGGCTGACGCTTTGTGCAACGGGGTGATTGTTGGCTGGGTTTTGAGTCGGGAGTGGGACTAGTGTCGTCGTCCGCTGGTGCGACAGTCAGGGATGAACCGCATAAAACCAGCACCCACTCCACGTAGGGGAGAGCCTTCTCCCTCGAGGGTCTTCCCCGGACAACTGTGCACATGTGGCGGTGTTGAGGCCAGTGCGTAGGAACTTGCATAAGTAGTCGTCCGGGAAGGTGGTCTGATGTGCGAGACCCAGAAATAGTTCCAGGTGCTCCTTGAGGGAACGGTTCCACTGCTCCAGGCAGAGCAGGTTGATGATGAAGTGATCCATGAAAGAAAACAAAACACTGGCAAAAACGGGAAAATAAACTGGGTAAACATGATGGGTACTGTCTCTTTTTGTGGTCGGTTATTCTTTCACGCTGCTGCTACATAGGATACAAGTGCATTAAAAAGAGAGATTTCAATAGGGTATTTCACAAAACTCAGAACCTTGGTCAGGACCTTGGTTCCCTGAGAGGAGAGAATGAGACATTGCGTCACAGTTGACGGTTTGGGGGTTCCCCTCCTTCCTTGAATCTACTAAAGCCTTATAAAATCTCAGGGGTGAAAATTCACCCACCAGTGGCGTTCAAGTGGGCAAAATAGAGGCGGTCTCCCCCACTCTAGAAGGCGGATACCATTGGACACCATTGCCTCAAGATGCGCTCCAGCCACTCACTCATTCATGCAATATAAGCAACCCTCCATCTTAGTGCATCAAATAGTTGTATCTTGGCCAAATATTGTCCTATCCTAACAAACCATACATATATTTTTATCAGCTTTCAGATGATGTATAAATCTCATTTTCGATTAATCGAAATCCTCTCATCCTCCCATGGTGTTCAACTAGGTCCAGTGGCTCAGCGCTGCTGTGACATAAGCAATAGCATCGGCATGGTCGCCATTTTGCTCTCACTCATGATGATGATAGCAAAACTGTTAGCTCTGTTATATCTGTTCTCATGCCCCCCTGCTAGTTAAAAGTGATGGGAACAGTAATTGCTCTTAGTATGCTGCTATAACGGCATGTTGCCATCATAATTACTTATATTCGCCCGGCAGAATGTCCTGGCAATAAGTATTTCGAATGGCACAAGAAGGTTTATCACCTCTCGCTCCTCTACATGACCAACTTATGTTGAGCAGAGCACTCTGGTCAGTTCTGTGATTTTGCCCCCATGGTAGTAGCCCTTGCAGAAAAACCTATTCCAGGTGTGATAAAAAACAAAAACAAAGAGGCACCTATGCATTTGCTATATATGTTATATCCTGAATGTTCCTTACTTACATCACATGTATTTTTTGTGCATGAGGAATCAACCAATCTAAAACTGATGTTTAGACTTCGTCTTGTAACACTGTTACAGCCCCACCGAGATGGTGATGACTGACTGGGTGCTGCTGCTGCCTTCTTGGTTCATCTGCACGAGATTATCCCTGCAATGATCTTCACTTTTTTATGCGTGCACTAGCATATGCGTACAGTACACGTACGCGTACAGAAATTAAGTAAACTTTTGGCTTTATTCTTCATGGTTTATTGTGAAATTGGCCCTATTCATGACACTTAATGTTGTGATTCCTATTTCTGTCATGACAACTCTTGGAGAGTTTAGCATGGTAATATACATGGTAATGTTAATGTGTTTGGTCTTGGCAGAATAGATCTGCTATGCTGCTACTGCTGCGGCAGAGCAAGTTCCAAGACTTGCTACTGCCAATACATCCACAGGCTTGCTGCTGTGAGCATGAAGCAGAAACACTGCTCCTGCACATATAACATATATGAAATTAGTGCTTTAGTACTCGAGTCCAGACTTATATATGCATGTCGCTGAGTGTAAGAATATATACTGCTGCATCAGCAGATATCCACACACATACTGTAGAAAGAATGAAAACAGAACAGGATAAAACAAAACACCCCTCAAACAAGCAGACCTATCGCCAAGACAAATGCTGCTGCTGCTCCAAAAAGCCATGTGGACTGCCTGTATTACTATCTATGTTTGCCTGGGTTACCTTCTCATCCTGTTTTTTTGCCCCAATGACCATTTCTTGTCCAACGGTCATACATTTATTTTGCAATGTCTGCACTATTGCATTTTCATGGGCAGATAATAATTTTTGACTTTTCAGTGTGAGTTTAATATGTTTTTTGGCCCATTTTACCTTTCAGACATCATTAGCAATTACATATCACTTATAAATGGTTATATACAAAATTAATAGTAGTTATTGGCTTTAAGTGTACGAACTTCCTCCATTTTGCTTTTTTGCTGTTTTTTCTCATAGCCACAACATGTAGATATTAAACAAAGGTGTGTTTGTCCACTGCACTGTCTGTCGTCTCAGATGTCCCACTCAGAGTTCATGAGTGCGGTAGTTTCTTCTCAGTGAGGGATAAGCCATCAGGCATGAAGAGGTCTTTCTGAGACAGCACTCTGAAACTACAGTAAATCAAAAAGATTGTCTTCCTCATAAGATTGGTTTTGTCAAGGTTTTGTCAAACTGAATGCACAAGAGAGATAGAATTTCATTCTCCCTCTCTGTTAGTGTATGTGTTTTTGCTTGTGTCATAGTGTCGCAGTTCAGAATTACACAATTGTGTAAATCGGTGTTTAAATATTTTACCAGATTGTTGTTATTTAGTCTGAAGGTCCAGACAGAAAACCTGTTTTTTAATTCTTGCATTACATCATCTTTGGCACAATTTATGATTTTTTTTTAAACCGGCTGTTTAAAAGTAGGGTTGGACAGTATCACGGTATGCACAAAGCAATAATTATGTTTTTCTTTAAGTTTTTAAAAGTGCCAAAATAATAAAGTAAATACAGCACCTTTTTTGACAACTATGTTTAAATCTTTCAAATTGCTCAAATTACTGCCAGTATGAATGTTGTTTTAGGCTGATATTATATTAGTAGTAATTATTTTATTGTTTATTTTGCCATTTATTGTTTTATAATTTTTTTTAATATATATGTATTTTTCAGTTAATCAGTTTGCTTGATAAAAGAGGTTTAATGAAAATATATGCCATTAATAATTAACAATTATGTAAAAAATATTTCTGTAATATTAAAACAAAAGCAAGGCACTTAAGGTCATTACAATGCCCTTTAGCCTCCTCTATTAAAAATATAATATATCCTCATGTGCTTATTTCTGAACTTAACTTTTTTTTTTCTCTTAAAATCTACATGTGTCTGTGTGCATGTCTGCTGCACACCTATACTGGCCTATCTTTTTCCATTCCTGTCTCTCTTTCATTCATATCGCAATCATCACTCTTTCCACTGGATCACAGACAAATCTATAAAATGAGCACAGAACTGAAGTATGTAGATACTCTGCTTGTTGATGGAAACAATGAATGCTTTTGACAGATGAAGGGAGAGAGACAGACAGGAGGTGCTATCAGAAGAATGATCTAATACGTATTGGAATCTGTCATGTGGTGTCAACCAAAGCCTATCTTACAGGAGGAAAGCTTAGAAAAACAGACCGCCCTCTGATTCAACAGACATGAAGGAAACTCCCTCTCTTTTTCTTTACAATAGCCTTTTCTTTACAATAAAAAATATATATATTAGAAAATAAAAACTTGGACACATGAGGTAGAGGTAGTTTGAAATGTCAGAAGCTTTCGGTGTCTAGAGATGATCAAATGAACTGAGAGACACTCCATGCAGGGTCCCCAACATTTGATGATTTGAAAGTTTTGAATGTTGAAAGATTAAAAGATTTTCGGTTACACTTTATTTCGATAGTCCGCTTTAGACATTATATTAACTATAAGTAACTTTGTAACTACATGTCAACTACATGTCAACTAATTCTCATTAATTTGCAACTACATGTCTACTAACTCTCAGAGTAGACTTAGGGTAGGTTTAGGGTTAGTAGAATAAGTTGACAAAGAAAGTGTTAGAAGATATTAAGCAACAGTCTACTAATACTCTACTAACTGCTAGTTGACATGTAGTTGCAAAGTTACTTACTGTTAATAGAATGTCTAAAGTGGACTATCGAAATAAAGTGTTACCAGATTTTCTCTTATGAGTTTAGGTAGATAGTAAGATCATTTGCGTTATTTCTCACTCACCTGTTTTCTTTTTTTTTTAATCTAAATGATTGAGTTACATAAAATGAGTCCACTTACACGTCTTTCTTATTCTTGGTCTTTCTCACAGAGGTCCAGACAACAACAAGAAGTTAAAAAATGTAAGTAAAATCTTCAGTGCCATGCCACTGTGTATATATGTATCACAAAGGCTGCTTTATGTGTATCAGTAGAAACGTAATAATTTGTAGCATAAATATATTTTTGAGCTAATTACTCATTTATTATAAAAATGAAGTTGCTCCAACTAATGGATTTGTGGGCATGAAACCAATTAATCTTATCTTTTTCAGTTAAAATCAACAGCTAGCTTAAATATAATGAAAAGTAAGATATTACTTGTCACTGACATTAGTACAGTCATTGCTCAAAGAGTCAAATGAAATTTGTTTTAAGAAAGTCAGTTAACACAGAAATTTGAGTTTACATTACATTTTCATGATCAGCATTATTATGTCAACAGAACTTATCAAAATTATCTCAGAACTCATTATGTTGGCAACTTCAAAGGTTTGATTACATTTTTAACTTGCACAATTACATTAATGTATTCTATACACTAGGACTAGGTAAATCAAATGGGCATCTTATTTCAGCTAGAACAGTTAACACAAAATGATGAAATGCCTCCTTTCCTTTGTTTTTCTGGAACAATAACAGGATTATTCTCAACAAATATATGATTATAGACCACTGAATGATAACACATATGATTGAAGAACACCACTGCTTTTTTGCGATGATTTGTGATCATGAAGTTCGGTGTCAATAAGGGGTATTATCATAAATATTATACAATACGTTCACTGTAGGATTCAGATTGGCTCTTTATTTTAGTGCCACTACAGATGCTCTGTATATGGAGGGCTGAGTGGAATATTCACATATAAAACTGAGTGAAATATTCTAACAGATCCAAAAGTGCTGGAACAGCCCAAAAATTACATCATATACTACCGTAGGTCGCTCCCATTTAAAAGTTTGGGGTTGGTAAGCTTGTTTTAATGTTTTTGAGATAAGTCTTTTATGCCCTCTAAGGCTCTCTAAGGCTGCATTTATTTGATTAAAAAATTCAGTAAAAATAGTAATATTATGAAATATTATTACAATTTAAAATAACTGTTTTCTATTTGAATAATTTCAAAATATAATTTATTCCTTTTCAGTGTCATTTTATATTATAATCTTTATTTTTATTGTGATAATATTTCATATTTCATAATATAACTGTTCTTCTAATTCAGTGTAGTATTTGGTTGAAAATAATTTAATTAGAAGTTGTCATAACCCAAAAATACTGATGCAGACTGTTGCATTCATTGTTTTTTTAGAGTGTACATCACAGTATAGCACAGTTTCTGTGCGGCCTTTCTGTTTGTAAAGAAATAAAGGCACTTTGTTAATGAATGAATGAATGAGCGTAAAGATAATAAGATACACTGACTGAGGAATATTTTGACTGTGTTCCTTTAGGTTTTGATCAACATCTACTGGCTGGGCCGAGCAGCCAATAGCAGCACCACATACAACGGGCCCACCCTGGACCTGCACAAGTTTGAGGAATTGCTGTCACAGATGAGAAAGGTAAAAACAAATCAAAACCACTTGCATTTCTATCTGTCATTAACACTAGAAATGTGATTTTATATAATTGGTGGCATGTACAGTACAGAACATCAATCCAATAAATGTCAGCATATTTATTAGTTTGTCATGAATCCTCAAATCAGAGACCAGAATATCATAAAGTTTGAGAGTGGACTCTTGACTTGGACTTAGTACCACCCGGATTTTGACTTTTTCAGATTTTTGTGGCACAAAAAATAAAAAAAGAAAAGAAAAGAAAAATAAAGAATTTGCGGTGGATTTTCTAAAATATTGTGTTGATGTTTGCAGCATTTTTGTGTTGTTTTGCAGTGGGAACCCACCAATAATTATTAATAATAATTTTTTGTAATTAGTATTAGTAACACGAAATGTGCAATTACTTGTAAATATTTTTGTGCATAATTATAGAAAACAGTTGTGCACAAGACAATGGTAAAATTCCAACAAAGAAATATACCTATTTCTGCTTTTCTGAAAATACAGAACTGTGTTAGACACAGAAACGTGCACACCTTTACCAATTTATTATGTTATTCACTCTTCACTAAAAACATTCTTACAGTTTTTACAGCTTAAATATAGTAGAGGTCGACCGATAGTGGATTTTACCGACACCGATAGCTAGGTTGGACCACACTGGCCGATACTGATTAATCAACCAATAGTTTTTAAACTAGATACTGAATGAAAATTAAAATAGTGCTTTACTATAAAAAAAATAAATAAAAAAACCGTACTGAACCATAATTTGTAAATGAATAAAAATATTAATATTAATTATTATATTAATCATTAAAGTTAGTTCACAGTTTATTAACTAATGTTAACAGAATAAATTTTAAAATTGAAAAATTTATTAGTAATGGTAAATGTTGAAATTATCACTCTCTAACAAGGAACAATACTTATACAGATTTCATTAATCCTAATGTTACAAATTAACTTTTATTGTTAAGTGTTTCCATTTCATTTCAGCAGTTATGCTTAAAGATGGTCATCTTTAAATATCTACACAAAGGTCATATCATTGAAATTACATATATATGGATATTGTATGTATTCTCTCACACATTATTTGCTTCTATTTTATAACACTTTATGATTATCTAATTAAAATAACAAAATATGTTAGTCACACACTGGGGAAAACCACAGTGCTAGGACAACAGGTGGGTCAATATCACTGTAGGGTGCCTTTTGGTGTCATGTTCATAAATAAATCATTTGCCATGATAACATAAAAATGACTATAAAGAGTGTGTTATATTAGGCTAAGTTTTTATATTCATAACAAAAGCATTACTTGGCTCTTTAGATGCATTTTCTAGATTTTTTTTTGGTTTTGTGTAAGAGGATGCATGTTATTTTGCTATGTCCCATGCACTTCTCATTAAATTTGAATGATAGTAGAATATTGTCAAATCATAAAATTAAAAAAATATATATATCCTATTAATATTTTGGTAAATAAGAGATTACTCAATTTGAGTGTATTGATCAATTGGTAATAAAAACTATATTTTTATTTAATAAAAAAGAAGAGTTTGTCCATGTCCCTTGAATGGTTGTTCACCCTGTCCTATTGGGGAATAGGTCCTATCTTAATGTCCCTTTAGGAAAAGGCCATCCCTTTTAGTGACATCAGGACAACAGATTTTTTGTCTCTTCAGTGGCAGGAATTTCAGCGGCTGAGGTAAGCAAGTTGGTGACTTTTCAATTGACATATTTTCTTCGTATGAGTTTGCTTACTTGCTTTGCCAAAGCTTAACATGTCCACCCTGTCCATGTCCATAAAATATGTATTCTTTTCAATGAACCTTTTAAATCGGTTCACACATTGCACCAAACGATTCATTCACGAATTAGAATGATCCGATTGCAGCTGTTCTCGAGTCGACAACTCACTGATTCAAATGAACCGTTTAGTGCGAGTCTCCAGTGAACTGAATTCACAAGTAAGAACCGGGAGATGTTGTGAGCGCGCGCGAGTCTGATGCTGTTAAAAGTAAGTTACTAATGTCGAATTTTAGGATTAATTATTGTAACTGAAAATCATATTTAGGTCAAAACTGTCAGTTGTTTATTAACTAAATCTGCTGTAAAGGGTGATCTATTTAAGCCCACTCAACCCTCTACATTGCGAGTAAATCACTCGCATATGCGACTAAATCTTACTCT